TCACTGCTTCCCATAAAAGGTTACAGAGCATACTTTTCCCCCAGCAACAAAAATGCAGCAACATGTGCCTAAAGAAGCCCATTAAAGATTCACTGCCCAGGCTGGTCACCTTCTGCTTAGCATCTACCGAAATTCCAGACTCCCAGAAGGAAAGCAGATGTCAGCATAAACCACCTGTAGAGTGTGAAGACAGTAAGCTAGTCATATCACTTAGGAAATTTTCTAACCATGTAATGAAACTATTTATCAGTCATGCTCCAGAGGCTAGGCAGGGACCAGCTTGTAAATAGGCTTTTCTAAGGATAGCAGGCTCAGACTTGCTGTGTTAACTCTTTTCTGCACACTTTTAAAGTCAATACTATGGATGAAAAGATCCTTTTGGTATAGGCCTTTTTTTAAGTTCCTTTTAAGTTTTCTAACAACAACAACAAAAAACCTTTTTGTATAGTTTGTCAGGTTCTGTGCCCCCCCCCCTTTTTAAGTTAACCTACAGCCGCCTTAAAGCAAGTTACTGTATAGCCTGTGATCTAGTGGACGATTCCCAAGGGGGAGTTGCCTGGGAAAAGCCTAGCTGATGACCTAGGACAAACCCATAGGATGGCATCTCTGTATAGTCACGTAAGTCATAGGATCCTGTTCTCATCGTTGGTGAGTTTATTCTGTTGGTGTACTTAGAGGTGGCTCTGTTAGCTAAATTCAAGAGAGGCCTAAAAATTAGATACCCTTTTCTCATTTTCCTGAGAGAAAAGGAAGTTTTAGGGGGCCTGGCCAATAGTTCCTCTGCTTTTGGGAAGATGAACAGGTGAGGAAAGCTGAAAGTATGTTTAGTGAGTCAGGAAGGGTTGATGGTCTTCAAATCTTGTGGCCTCCAGCTAAGGCAGGCTCCCAGGCCGATCACAGAGGCTGATGTGCAGCATGAATTGTCACTTGTGTTATCTGGCATCCTTTGTCCGGAAAGGGCAGTCTGGGTCTCTCAGGCATTCCTAACTTACCTTAGAGACCTTCCTTCTGTTGCTAAGCCTATCTCCAGTTCCAGGCACAGCCATGTAATTGGTTAGGTTTAGGCTTTCTGTGTTCAGTCACATTTAGTGATGTCCCAGCTGTGCCTTTCTGAAGCTGTTCCCAGGCTTTCTTCATTAGAGACCAGATGTTCCCGACTGTGTGTCTAAGAGGACTAGCTCTCTCCAGTCAGAGGCCTCAGACTAGGAAGCACCATAGTTTGTGGCTGCTGCTAGTGAGTCTTCTGGGTCGAGGGAGGCAAAGTGCACAGTAGGCTGGAGGGTGAGGTCTTCCTGGGCTGGTCCACAAAGGAAGGCAGCTTCTAACAGTTCAGTGCACTGAAAGATGGGGTGCAGTGTTTTTGACAGAGGCCACAGCATGGGCAAAGGCAGAGTGACAGGGAAGTCATGGTGGGAGAAGGTCAGGGCTATCTGGGAAGACTGGAGTTGGGGTCCCCATCCTAGCAGTTTGACCCTCTGTATATAAGTTATCACCTCTCTGTGAGTCTCTTTGAGTCTCAGCATTTGAGAGTTCATTCTGCCCTTTAGTTAACATTTGTATATGTTTGAAATTTTCCATAAAATGTTTTTTTAAGTAAGTTAAAACATGGGTTCACAGATAAAGCTCCGTTACAAAGCAACCTCCTGACAGGCTCTTCCCCTGCACTTTCTCCCCTCTCCAAATCTGTCTTCCACCCTGCAGCTCAAGTGGCTTTTTCTGAAAAAAGCATGGGAAAGGGTGTGTGTAATAACCATACAAGCATGCCTCCGAAATAGTGCATGTTCGGTTCCAGGCCACTGTGATATAGCAAATTTTGCAATAAAGTGAGTCAAATGAACCTATTTGGTCTCCCAGCATATATAAAAGTTATGTTTATAATGTAGTCTATTAAGTGTGCAGTAGCATTATGTCTAAAACCACGCACATACCTTAATTTAAAAATTGTTTCTTGATAAATTCTAACCATCCTCTGAACTTTCAGCAAGTTGTAATCTTTTTGCTGGTGGAGGGTGTGGTCTCAGTGTTGTTAGTGGCTGACCTGTCACAGTGGGGATTGCTGAAGGCTAGGGTGGCTATGGCCATTTCTCAGAATAAGACAATAAAAGTTGCCACATTGATTGACTCTTCCTTTCACAAACAGTTTCTCTGTGGCATGTGATGCCGTTTAATAGCTTTCTACCCACAGTAGAACTTCTTTCAAAATTGGAGTCCCTCCTCTCAAACCCCTCCACCGCTTTATCAGCTGAGTTTATGTCATATTCTAGATCTTTGTTGTCATCTCAGCAGTCTCCACAGCATCTGCAATAAGAGCAGATCGCACAAAAACACTTTCTTTGCTCATCCATAAGAAGCAACTCCTCATCTGTTCAAGTTTGATCACGAGTTCACAGCAATTCAGTCATGTCTTCGGACTCCACTTCTGATTATAGTTCTTTTGCTGTTTTCACCATATCTGCAGTTGCTCCCTCCAGGGAAGTCCTGAACCCCTAAAGTCCTCCATGAGAATCAGAATCAGCTTCTTCCAGACTCCTATTAATGTTGATAATCTGACTTTTCCCCACAAATCACAAATGTTCTTCATAGAATCTAGAATGGGGAATCCTTACTGGAAGGTTCTCAATGGACTTGGCCAACATCCACCAGAGGAACCATTATCTATGGCAGCAGTACCTTTACACAGTTTATTTCTTAAATAAGAAAACTTGAAAACTGAAATCACTCCTGGTCGCTAGGCTACAGAATGAATGTTGTGGTAGCAGGCATGAAAACAACATGATTCTCGTACATCTCCATCAAAACTCTTGGGTGACCAGGTGCATTGTCAGTGGGCAATAGTATTTTGTCAGGAATCTTTTTTTCTGAGCAGCAGGTCTCAACAGTGGACTTAAAAAATTCAGTAAAACACATTGTAAACAGATGTGTTGTCATTCAGGCTTTGTTCTATTTATAGAGAACAGGCAAAGTAGATTTAGCATAATTCTTAAGGGCCCTAGGATTTTCTGCATGATAAATGAGCACTGGCTTCAATTTCATGTCACCAGCTGCATTAGATCCTAACAAGAGAGTCAGTCTGTCCTTTGAAGCTCTGATGCCAGGCACTGACTTCTCTCTAGCTCTGAGGGTCCTCGATGGCCTCTTCTTCCACTAAAAGGCTGCTTCATCTGCACTGGAAATCTGTCGTTGAGGGCGGCCACCTTCATTCGTGATCTCAGCGAGATCTGGGCGACGTGCTGCAGCTTCTGCACCAGCACTGGCTGCTTCACTTGCTCTTTTCTGTCACGGAGACGGCTTCTGTCCTTCACCCTCGTGAACCACCTCTGCCAGCTTCACACTTCTCTTCTGCAGCTTCCGCACCTCGCTCAGCCTTCACAGAGTGACAGGGAGAGGGCCTTGCTCTCCGTGAGGCTCTGGCTTAAGGGAATGTTGTGGCTGGTGTTATCTTCTCTCCAGACCCTACAACCTTCTCTGTATCAGCATTCAGGTTGTTACACTTTCTTAACCATTTGTGTGTTCACTGGAATAGCACTTTCAGTTTCCTTCAAGAACTTTTCCTTTGCCTTCACAGCTTGGCTAACTCTTGGGTCCAAGAGGCCTAGCTTTTGGTCTGTCTCAGTTTTCAGCATGCCTTCCTCACTAAGTTGAATGATATCTGGCTTTTAAGTAAAGTGAGAGGCTTGTGACTCTTCATTTCACTTGAACAGTTAGAGATCAGTATAGGGTTATTAATTGCCCAAGTTTCAGTATTGTGTGTCAGGGAATAGGGAGCCACCCAAGGAGAGGGGGGAGAGATGGGGAACGGCCTGTTGGTGGAGGAGTCAGAACACACATTTATTGGTTAAATTCCCCATTGCATATGGACAGTGTTCATGGTACCCCAAAACAATTACAATAGCAACATCAAAGATCACTGAGTATAGATCACCATAACAAGTATAATAATAATGAAAAAGTTTAAGGTATTGTAAGAATTACCAAAATGTGACACAGAGACATGATGTGAGTAAATGCTGTTGGAAAACGGCACCATGCTTGAAACAGTCTTGCCACAAATCTCCAATTTATAAAATGTAGTATCTGCAGAGACAATAATAGGAAGAAGTATGCCTGTAAAGAGTTTTCTTTGTGACAGGACTCTCAGAACCTTTCCTCTGCTACTGTGTGTTGTAAATCTCTGAGAAAGAACAGACTGTGCCATTTCCTAAGTTGACTCGACTATGGGTCCTTTGTTATCCTTCATTTTAAGATGCAGTCATCAGTATTTCAGCTGACACCAGGGTAACTTGGAGCACAATTAAATGATACTCTGGCCTCGTCTTACTCCAGCCTCGTCACAGTGCCTCCCTTCTGTGCATTTTTCTTGCTCTCTTCTCTCTCCTCTGTCCTATGGGCACCTCCACCACTTTGCAAACTGTGCTTGGGCCTGACCTCTCTGGGATGTTGGCCCTCTCTCAGTTCAGTTCATGGTATGTGTCTCCTCAACACTCTTCATGCTTTGTGATAAGGCACAGGTCACTGTTGTAACTGTCAGCTTAATTGTCATTATGCTTTACTACCCAGTAGATAGTATAATTTTCATTTTATAGATCAAGACAGTGAGGCATGGGGAAGTTTATTTTGTGACTTGCTCTTATACGGCAGGACTGGATATTGGGTCCAGGTCTCTGATTCCTTTATAACCATACCCTTTAAGTTCCATGAGAACAGGGAGAACAGTTTTTCAGAGTATTTGAGTCTCACATTTACATATGTAACATCTCAAGAGGGTATATCTTAAAACAAATTTATGGGGTTTTTCTTCCAGAAAACGGTCATTAAATAAGTTGTGATGCATCAAAAATCATTGTGTCTTAGAATCAAATATGTCTCTCTCCAGTGCCCAATAGAGCCTTGATACATAATACATGTATAATAAGCATTTGTATGCTAGATTCAAGAAATATGGTGGTTTTATAAAGCAAAGTGTGCCTCTGAAAGTTCTATGCCCCTGCTTATCTCTTCAGATATTTTATGCATGGTGTGTGTCGGGAAGGAAACCAGTGCCTGTTCTCACATGACTTGGCGAACAGCAAGCCATCCACCATCTGCAAATACTATCAGAAGGGCTACTGCGCCTATGGGACTCGTTGCAGGTAAGAGCCCCACAGCTGCTCCCAGCTGTTCTATCAGCTTAAATACTGTCGGGGACTTGGATCCTTCATTTGGAGCATGGGTGTTGATGAGGGGAAAATTTTTCTTTTTAAGATTTATTTATTTTAGAGAGCTTAGTGGGTAAGGGGCAGAGAGGGAGGGAGAAAGAGATTTCCAAACTGGCTCCATGCCCCGTGCAGTCCCGATGGCAGGGCTCAGTCTCCTGACCCTCAGATCATGACCTCAGCTAAAATCAAGAGTCAGATGCCTAACTGAGGCACCCAGGAGCCCTGATGAGAGGAGAATCCTAATTTGAAAGTAATTTAACAATTAAAAGTACAGAAGATAATTTTGAAATCTGTTTCATTATAATGAAAGTAATTTTAATTTTTCAAAACACTTTTCAGGCCTTATTCTTATGAGTCTCTTACAAAATTTTACTCACTGTGTGTGTGTGTGTGTGTGTGTGTGTGTATCTTTTCTCCTCACTTAACATGTCACAAGCTTTTCTGTAAGCTGCTACTTTATTTCCTAACTAATTTTATGTTTCATAATGTTAGCATACCATCATTTTATTAACTGTTCTTCTCTTCGTTAAGTGGTTCCCAGTTTTTGTTTTGTTTTGGTTTTTTTGCTATGAATACCCTTGCAGTGAACATTTCTATGCATATAGAGGCTGCCTTTTCCCTCACTCACATCTATAGGCAAGTTTTGTAGGTTCTAAACAGGAAAACATTCCAAAAACCTCTTCAAGTGCTTTTATAGTGAAGGACTGGTATGTTCTTTCCTGTGCTGAGTGGAGGCTATAGAAGTTGCCCACTCACTCCAAACCCCCCACCCACCTACCCCCAGCCAGTGCATGTCCCAGAGAGACAGTCCAGGAAAGGCCGTTTCAAGCTCTTAACACTGGCTGTCATTAACTTTTGGGGCACTCCTGCCAGAAGAACATGACTTGGGTGTCAGGAGACTTCAACATCTGACTGGAATTTTCAGGATTTCTGTGTGTGACCTGGGGTATTTTGTCCTCCAAGGACACTTAAGTGTGGTGATAGACAGCAGTGTACCTACCACTCACTCTAAATTACCAGGCATTTCTTACTAATTGATAAGCCTTTTATCATTTAAAATATGGGAAAAGATAGTCTCATTCTCCACTTCCACAAGTGGAGCAGAGGAAAAGATGGGCCACGTCTAGGGAGTGTGGGAGATATGTGCAGGTAGTGTGTCCCTAATGCATTTGCTGTGCGTTTTGTTTAGATACGATCACACAAGGCCTTCTGCTGCAGCTGGTGGTGCCATGGGCACCATGCCCCACGGCGTGCCCTCCCCGGGTTTCCACAGTGCTCACCCTGCTTCCGACCTCACTGCATCTATTGTGAAAACGAACTTACATGAGCCTGGGAAACGGGAAAAGAGAACACTGGTACTTAGAGACCGAAGTGAGTGAACAGAGTCATTTCGTTGTTTCTTTTGGAAAAGCAGTCCTGTTTGTTCGTGATGTACCTTTCTGGCCCTCTCTTGTCAGAGGGCTCCTGACCTAGTCCCCTTGCCCGCTGTTCAAGTGTAGACACCGGACCTGTCCTGAGAAGAGCTTCCTTTGGCTACAGAGCGTTCAGGTGATGTGTTCCGCCTGCGTCCTGGGCGTACTGCCAAGTCTGGCCTGACAAGACATAAAAAGGGTCCTTTTGTCAGTGTGTAACTGCTGTCTCCATGGAGTGGTTCCCCAGTTCTGAGAAGCACCAGGCCACTCATCTCAAAGCTACATAACTTGATAAAGAGCATGTTTCACTGTTTTACTTCTAGGTCAGCTCCTAGTCTTAGTCGCTGTGCTCAGCCAGTTTGATGTCTTCAGTTGCAGTTTTGGTAATAGAGCAGCGTATTGGGGCTTGGGGAGGAAGCAGACTACAGGTCATAAAACTTTTTATTGGCTGGTCCTCAGCAAGTAAAGGGATTTCTGGTTCTTGGAATTGTGTGGCATAAGCTAGGTAGATTCCATCCTAAGCAAACAATCGTGCTAGTCAAATGTCCTCTCTTAAGAGGCCAGAAGTGAATACGGTGGGAAGGAGGCCTAGAGGGGTTTGACACTGGTCTCAGGACCCAAAGACTCACTAGATTTTCATTCTAGTTTACTCTATGATAGGTGTCTTTACTAATATAAAGGAAAGCGCTTTATTTTATTGACTTCATTCTAAATTCCCATAGACTTACATTTTGGTGTATAAAAAAATTATTATTATTATAATTTTTTAAGTGTTAACTGGTCAACGGGTTGACATTTCCATATTTGTCATTTTTAAACAGCAGCTTCCTGTTCTTTTGAATATCATGTCTGTTTTGTGAATTTCCTGTGTTGCCAATTATGTTCTTTCCTTTTTAAAAAAGTCATGATTATAGTAATGTCACTGTGAACATTTTATACTATACTTTCTGGTTTTCCCTCTTGCCCTGTTTTTTTCTGTGTGATCCAAACAGTGAAATTCCCAAGGTCAGAATTACTTAATCTGTTGGGTTTTTACTAGCTGCTTACCACAAGGTTTGGGCCAGATTTCATTTATGTGCGTGCTGTGTGTTTTGTATTAAGATCTCTCTGGCATGGCTGAAGAAAAGACTTGCCCAAGTATGGTGAGTAATCCAGGAGGCTGCAGTGATCCCCAGAATAGCCCAGAGATGAAGCCGCATTCCTACCTCGATGCGATCAGGAGTGGCCTTGATGACCTAGAAGCCAGCAGCTCCTACAGCAGTGAGCAGCAGCTGTGTCCCTACGCGGCGGCGGGGGAGTGCCGATTTGGGGATGCTTGTGTCTACTTGCATGGAGAAGTGTGTGAAATCTGTAGGTTACGAGTCCTGCATCCCTTCGACCCAGAGCAAAGGAAAGCTCATGAGAAGGTAAAATTGCAAGCCTTTGCTTGAACTTATTTTAAGAAATTTAAAATGCGCTAAATGACAAAATTGTTGGTATTCCTGTAATCATCTCTCTGTCAATAATACCCTCAATATGTACATGGCATGTTTATAATCCTGTTTCCAAGTCCTTTTTCCTGTTGTCATTTTGAAAGTTTTTGATTATTTAGAATAAAGAAAAAGGGAAGAGGTATTGCAAAGTTCAGAGAACAGATCTAACTCAGGAGTGTAGTGTGTGTGCGTGCGTGTTTGTGTGTGTGAGAGAGAGAGAGAGAGAGAAACACACACACATCCTCCATAGGTTTATATATCCTTGTAGCTGGGGTTCAGCCACGCCAAGTTCTAGAGAATTTGAGGAGCCAAGTGTTAGAAGGGACCTTTCAGGTCATTAGGTCCCCAGTGTTCATGGAGATGTCGCCTCACACTAGGCTCTGTGTGCATGGCATGAAGGTGGGTAAGAAAGACAGGAGCCCACAGCCTCAGCGTTAGAGCTCATGATGACGAGCCGGCCATGGTGCGTAGAGGCCCCATTGTCTTCCGTGGGGGTATTCAGGGGAGTACAGAAGAAGAACTTTCCTCTGCACCCAGGTGTGTTGAGGGCTTTGTGCTATACATGTGCTTGATCTCCCATCTGTGTCCACCAAGAGCTCCCAAGGCAGAGTCTGGGTCTTCATGCTCTTGGCATTGACTCTCATGCCTGATACACAGAGCTTCACCTGGGAGTATTCAGCACCTGCTTCCTGAATGAATACCTTTATTAAATAACTTGTTCTCTTGAGAAGTGGTGCTGCTTCCCTCTGAGTCTGGACGACCAGCCTGATGTTTCAAGTTAAGGATTGTTCAGCATTTCGGATATTGGTGTAGTTCAGAGTGGGTTAAGGGTGCCCAGAAGAGCCAGGAGACCGGGTTCCCAGCCTCTGGGAACTCTGTGATTCCACGCAGGGCCTCGAATCTTTTGGGACCTCCATAGTCTCGGTTCTAAACTGAAGGTGACCATACCATGCTAGAAAAGCTGGGCAGGTGATGGTGTGAAGTCCTTTTTGTGGTCTGAGAGAGCTTTGTGTCCAGCAGCCCAGAACCTAACAGTGTGGCCCTCCTTTCTCTCCATACTTGAGATCTGCATGTCGACTTTCGAACATGAGATGGAAAAGGCCTTTGCCTTCCAAGCAAGTCAGGACAAAGTGTGCAGTATCTGCATGGAAGTGGTCCTCGAGAAGGCATCTGCTTCTGAGAGGAGATTTGGGATTCTGTCCAACTGCAATCACACATACTGCTTGTCCTGCATCCGGCAGTGGAGATGCGCCAAGCAGTTTGAGAACCCAATCATTAAGTAAGTGCAGCTAAGGGTCTCCACTGTGGAAGCTGGGGAGGGCGTTTGACTGGGGGCCGCCTTCTGTCTATTCTTCATCCCCCACACTGTCCTTTAGTGTGAAGATACAACTGGCAAGTCCAAGCCTGTGATTGTAGGAGCCTGGGCACATCTAGTAGCCTTCTTGAGCCCACGTGCTTTTCCTTTTAAAACGGGTAACAACTCCTGCCGACCATCAGCGTGTTTGGGGACACTCAGCGGGGGTCATCTGTAGGAGAAGGTGTTCATAGCACTGGCCTTTTGGACTCCAGCACTAACAGTTACTAGTGGTTTGCCTTTACACTGATTTCCACCTTTGATTTTACTTTTTTTTATCTGTAAAATAGGGTTGAGGATTAAATGGAATAGTACATCTAACACATCTCACGTAAGGTATGATACACAGGATGTGCTCCATGGAGCCAACACAGGATTCTGAAATTCTGCAGAGGGCCGGGGGAAGAGCTTACTCATACTGAAAAGTGAATGTGTGCCGTGTACTGTTAGAAATTCTTCACACACAGTAGCTCATAGTTCTCAGACCCAGTGATCATTCTCATTTATAGAGAACAAAACTGGGGTAGAGTGAAGTCAAGCAATGTGCCTGAAATCTCATGTGTTTGGTCAAATAGCTGTTTTACTGAGGTAAAAGTGGTTTCTAGTCATTTCGCAGTTGTGGCCACCATCACTTCAGTCTAATTATAGAACATTGTCATCATGCCAAAAAGGAACCTCTGTGTGCATTCACTGCCCATTTCCTCCCTGCTCCTTCCGGCCACCAGCGGCCACTCCTCTGCTTTCCGGCCTCTGGCTTTGCCTGTCCTGGGCACTGATTGTAGATGGAGTCCTACGACATGTAGCCTTTCTGGGTCCGCCTGCTTTCCTCCGGCAGACCGCCCTCAGCGCTCACCTGTCCACACGTGCCTGGGCTCCCTGCCTGCACTCCGGGCTGAGAGCCTGCCCCATGCAGATGTCCACAGTTTGTGCAGTCCTCAGTTGACAGGCATTTGGATTGTTTCCTTCTTTTGGTTATTAGGAATAATGCTGCTGTGAATACTCAAGGACAAGCTGTCATGTGGCCGGTGTTTGTTTCTTTTGGGTTAGAGGGCTAGGAGTGGGTTGCTGAGCCTTACAGTAACTGTTCAGCATTTTGAGGAACTGCCAGGCTGTTCTCCACAGTGGCCACTCCAGCAGCATAGGAGGGATCCACTTGCTCCCCAACCTCATCAACTCTGGTTATTGTCTGTATTTCTCATTGTAGCCATCCTGATAGGTGTGAGGTGGTATCTTATGGTTTTGATTTGCATTTCCCTGATAACTAATGATCTTGAGCATCTTTTTCTATGCTTTTTGGCCATTTTGCAGAAATGCCTACTCGAATCTTTTGCCCATTTTAAAATTGGGTTTTTTTGTTTGCTTTAAAGATTTTATTTTTGAGTAATCTCTACACCCAACGGGGGCTTGAACTCACAACCCTGAGATCAGTTCCATGCTCCCCTGAGCCTACCAAGGCACCCCAAATTGAGTTGTCTTCTTATTGTTGAACAGGTTTTTAACAGTAAGTAAGGTTCTACAGCTGAAACTAATATTACACTATATTTTAACTGGAATTTAAATAAAAACTTAAGAAAAGAGTAAAGAAGGTTCTGAGAGGATTGTGATTTCACCTTGTGGAATTTTTGGTTGGGAAACATTTGGAGTGCTCATGCATTTGAGCAAGGGGTTTGGTGGTACAGTGTGCACTAGATTTATAACTTCGTCTCTCCCATACTAACCCTGATTCTCATTTCAGGTCTTGTCCAGAATGCCGTGTGATATCAGAGTTTGTAATTCCAAGTGTGTACTGGGTAGAAGATCAGAATAAAAAGAATGAGTTGATTGAAGCTTTCAAACAGGGAATGGGGTAAGTACTTTGAGCTCAGATAGGATTCTGGTGCCTGCCTGACAAATGCTTATATTTACATACCTTCCAACCCCACAAGGTAATGTAATTTTTAAAATTTCAGCTTTGAGGTATAATCAACAAATAAAATTGTAAGATATTTGAAGGGTCATCATGGTGATTTGATCTACATTGTGAGAGGATACTCCCATCTTGATTTTTTTTTTTTTTTTTTTGGTGAGAACCTCCAGGTTCTACTCTTAGCAAATTTCAGTTTTATAAACAGTGTTATCAACTGTAGTCACCATGTTTCATCATGTGTTCATCTATGTATTCGTTATAGAGCTGAAGGTTGGGACCCTTTTATCAACTTTTCCTTATTTATCCTACCCCTTAGCCTCTGGCAACCCCTTTTTTACTATGTGAGTTTGCCTGTTTATGTTTGGTTCAGACACCAGCAAGTGATCTCCTGCAGCATTTGTTTTTCTCTGTCTGGCTTATGTCACTTAGCATAATGCCCTCGAGGTCTGCCCATGTTGTCACAATGTCAGGATTTCCTTTTCTGTCCTAGCTGAATAATATTCCATTTTATGTATATTCTACATCTTCATCCATTCATCTCTTGACAGACACATGGGTCATTTTGTGTCTTGGCTGTTATGACTAATGTTACAGCGAACATGGAAGCGTATATAATTCTTCTAACAGTTGTGAGGTACTATCTCATTGTGGTGGTGATTTGCATTTCCCTGATGATTAGTGATGCCAAGTGCCTTTTCCTGTGTCTGTTGGACATTTAGATGTCTTCTTTGGGAAAATGTCTATTCAGTTCCTCTGCCCATTTTTAAATGGAATGTGGTGGTGGTTTTTGCTCTTGTGTAAATTCTTTATGTATTTTGGATATTACCCCCTTATCCGGATAGATGATTTGCAAATATTTACTCCCATTTAGTAGGTTGCCTTTTCATTTTGTTTGATTTCCTTTGCTCTACAGAAATTTTTTAGTTTGGTGTAGACCCACTTTTTTATTTTTGCTTTTGTTGCCTTTGTTTTTGGTGGCAAATCCATGAAGAACATTGCCAAGACCAATGTCCAGGAGCTTATTACCCTCTGTGTTTTTGTTTTCAGGGCTTATGTTCAAGCCTTCAATTTGAGCTGATTTTTGTGTATGGTGTAAGATAGTGGTCCAGGTTCCCCAACATCTTATATTGGAGAGATCGTCTTTTCCCCGTTGAATATCCCTGGCTCCTTTGTTGTAAATTGACCACATCTGCGTGGGGCCATTTCCAGGCCCCCTGTTCTGTCCCACTGATCTATTTGTCTGTTTTCCTGCTAGTACTATCCTGTTTGGGTTACTGTAGTTTTGTAGTACAGCTTGAAATCAGGAAGTGTGCTGTCTCCAGCTTTGTTACTCTTTCTCAGGATTACTTTGGCAATACACTGGGATCTTTTATAGTTCTTATACAATTTTGGAGTTGTTTATCCTTTGTCTTTGAAACATGCCATTGGGATTTTGATAGGATTGCTTTCAGTCTGCAAATTGTTAACGCCTTTCATTTCTTTCAGCATACAGGTCTGTTTCATCTTCTCTGCTAAATTTAGTCCTAGGTATTTTATTCTTTTTTGACGTAATTGTAAGTGGGTTTTTTTTTTTTTCTTAATTTCTCTTTCTGGTAGTTCATTGTTAGTTGATTTTGTATCCTACAACTTCATTGTTACAAGATATGGATGTAGTACGTACATACATTGGAACCCAGCAAGGTAAATACTATTTTTTTTTTTTAAGAAAAAAAAAGGTGGTTTATATTTACTCAGATATTCACCATTTCCAGTGCTCTTTGATTTGGTATATAATTCCTTCCAGTTGGTATAATTTACCTTCAGCCTCAAGAACTGCCTTTAACATTTATTGAATCTGCTGATGATGAATTCTTTTCTTTTTAGCAGAAACAGCTTCTCATTCTTAAAGGATATTTTCACTGGATATACTGGTCTGATCAGTCCTCTTTACATCTTTGTCTCCTTTTTCAGTGAATATAATTTTGGGTTAATAGTTCGTTTCTTCATTTTCTTTCAGTATTTTGCAAATGTTGTTCCACTATTTTCTGGCCTCTAGTTTCTGAGAAGTCAGTGATAATTTAGATTGTAGTATGTAGTTTTTCTGGGGTTGCTTTCAAGATTATCTGTCTTCATTTCCAGCAGCTTGCTCTTTTGCCTGGGAGTGGTTTTCTCGGAACCTGTAAGGTTTTGTCATTCACCAAATTTAGGGAAATTTTGGCCATCAGATTTTTTCTCCTGCCCTGTTTCTTCTTCTCCTGGGACTCTTAATAACATGTAATAGACTGATACTGCTGCACAGAATTTGGGGTCTGTTCATGTCTTTCCAGTTTCTTTCCCCTCGCTGTTAATCTTGTCCAGTGGTAGCTGCTTTGAACACCTTGTCATCTTGAAGTTGGTTTCTAGGTCTCATTTTCCTGATTCTTTGTATATTGAATCATTTTGGATTATAGCCTGCCAGTGTTATCTTGTCAAGATTCTTGATTCTCTTAAGCCATAAAGCGTTGATTTCTTACATGCAGGTAAAGTGTTTAAATTCCAGCTTTTGGGCAGCAGTTCTCATCTGTTTGGTTTTCTTATCCTCAGCTAAGTGGCTGTGAGCTTCTGCTGCACTGATGTCTGGGCCAAACCTTTGGACTGAATTAATACATCGTATTTGGAGTCCTCCCTCTGGTGCCCTTCTCTGTGTGGGACTGCCTCCCCACTTTCCAGTGGGTGCTCTCCTCCCAGCCCTGTTCGTTGTTCAGGCCAGGGAGACTGTGGATTTGCCCCTGGAGTTTTAGACACCTAACTTTGGCTTGCTCTAGGCCAAAAGCTATTTTTTCTGAGAAAGATAACTCTCTTCTTGCCATTCTGTTCTTTTCAGTGTCTGATTTCTTGGAATCCTCCTGCTGTTCATGTTCCAGTGCCTTTGGGTCTTTTAAAAATTGGTATTGCTAGTTAACTGCCCGAGGGTTGGCTCTGGGAGAAGTGTGCTTCCCTGTACTAAAGGGCACTGCATGTCACCTTTTTTAATGTTTCCTTCAGATTGCCTATCCATTACTGAAGTTCCCCCTCACATGTGGTGGCCTGTGTCCGTCCACCAGAGGGCAGGAGTGGCAAGGCAGAGGGGCCAGCCTCCAGGAAGCAGCTGTGCTGGAGTGGCCTGGAAATTCTCGTGTTCTTTCTGTTTGGGTCTTTTCTGGCCTTAGTTTTCATTGATGATGGTGTTTTTATGCATTTCACACAGATTTACTGTGCACCTACTATGGGCTAGGCGCCTTCAAGCTAAGCACCAGTGGGGGACATAGAGTACAGATTAGTAAGATAATTTCAAGGGAAATTACAAAAGGGCAATTATGATACGTGTTTTCTGGTGACATTCTTCACAAGAGGCCCAAGCCACATGTCCCAACAAAGAAAGCACTTGGAGCCACCTGAGAGCATCAGGAAAAGCAGCATGGGGCTCAGAGCCATGAAGCATAAACAGCTATCACGTGTGTTTGGGGGTGAGGGGGAACAGAATGGCATGGGTGCAGAATGGTACACCTGTTGTGTGGGGGGAGCAGTAGGAGTGGAAGGATGTGGTAGGACCTGTGGGACAGACTGCATTGAAATCTAAGGGGGCAGAACAAGTGACTGTTGGGCATGCTCCTCAGTCGTAGTGTGAAGAGGCTGGAAGCTGGTGGAAAGGAGGCCAATTAAGAAATGACTGTGGCAGGCGGGTAGCAGAGGACAGTACCCACATGGCTTCAGCATTGTAGGGACAGAAGGGATGGGGTGACTGGGGAGGTGCTCTGTAAGCAGGACTAACAGTCGGATGGGGGAGCTGAGAACACGGCGGCAGTCTGCGTGCACTGGAGGCTTTTGTCCTTGGTGACCAGGTAAGGCTGGGGAAGGAAAAAGCATGGTTATTTGGGGGCAGGAACAGAGAATGATTTCTGGAACCTGTTGAGTTCATTAAAACCAGGGTCCAGCAGCAGTCTGGTGAGAACTCGCTGCTTAAGCAGTTATCGAAGGTTTGCTCAGAGCCTCAGGGGTGGAGGCCATGATAGGGGTGGATGCACACAGCTCTGCTCGGATCCACTCCCCAGCTGGCGCCAGGGTCAGACCTGGGGGGAGCAGGCGCCATCCGGAGAGCGCAGTACTCCTTCAGTGGACAGTTGTGAAGGGAACTTTCTTGGTGCTGCTCTGAGGTCTCAGCCACCCTCATCACCGATCTCTGCCAGCCTCTTTTTTTTTTTTTAAGATTTTATTTATCTATTTGACTGAGATCACAAGAGAGAGAGGAAGGGAAGCAGGCTCCCTGCTGAGCAGATAGCCTGATTCAGGGGCTCGATCCCAGGACCTTGGAATCATGACCTGAGCCGAAGGCAGAGGCTTTAACCCACTGAGCCAGCCACGTGCCCCTCTGCCATCCTCTTGTCTGAGAAGACAGAAAAACACTGGCGTCGAGGAGTCCCCCTTCCTTGTCATGTCACTGACACACCCCAGCTGCCCCTGGTAGCAGCCTGCCCTTTCTACTGTGATACGGCTTTCTCTGTGCAACTTCCCTTGCTCAGCACTCCCAGATGCCCCCTTGCCTTCTTGGGCATCTCTACCTCTTCTTCACTGTGGGACCATTTATGATTGTAGAAGTCAAATTTCATTTAAGTAAAAAGGAACAGGAAATTTCTGGTTGGTGGTTTTTTCCTCTGGACCCTGAAGATATGCCTAAAAAACACAGCAAAAAAGTTAATTTTTTATGTGTGTATTATATTTTATCAATTTAAAAACAATGCTCTGAGAAGGGGTCCATAGTTAAGAAGCCTGCTCTAGATCTAGAGGGTAGAGACCAAGGAAAATTGGAATGAGACCTGGAACTTTGGGCAGGGGCTAATGTTCACTTCTTTTCTGTGCCTCCTAAGTCAAGGCTTCCTCTTCCTTGACATCATTGCTGGCCAGGAGGAAGGGAAATTTCCCTGGGTGGGGTTCCTAGTGGGACTTCTAGCTGAGGCAGATAGCCCAGCTTCAGAACCTTGGAGCCCAGACAGCTGGCCCGGAGGAGCTGTCAGGCCTGTGCTCCCCTGGAGTCCCCTATGCAGGTTCAGTTCTGTGTGAGGCTGCCATGTCACCATGACAGTATGATCCACCTTGGAAATCAGCATCCTAGCCTCACTGAGCCTCATCTTCCCTACATAGAAAGTAAGGCTCATCTAATTCTGGCATCGTAGGCAGGGATGGAGGAAGGCCTTGGTTCTTCCCGGCCCCAGGTTCTCCCAACATCCTCTGACTTTTTCTTTCTACTTTTCAGGAAAAAAGCTTGTAAATACTTTGAGCAAGGCAAGGGGACCTGCCCATTTGGAAGCAAATGCCTTTACCGCCACGCTTATCCTGACGGGCGGCTGGCAGAGCCTGAGAAACCTCGGAAACAGCTCAGTTCTGAGGGCACCGTGAGGGTAAGGACTTTGCCATCTCTGTCAAGGACACTTACTGGTGGCATTTCCAGGTACTGCTCCTGGCCCTTTCTCTGATAGCTTTGGCAGCAGGGAATGGGGTGGGTAAGCAAAAGAAAAATAAACTGGCCTTCACATTGCCATTAATAACCAGGTATATTTGCTGGCTGTTTTTGCAGTTCTTTAATTCAGTGCGGCTCTGGGATTTCATTGAGAATCGAGAAAGCCGGCATGTCCCCAGCACTGAAGATGTCGACATGACAGAGCTTGGGGACCTCTTCATGCACCTGTCTGGAGTGGAGTCATCAGAACCCTAAGTAGTAGACGGTTCCCCCTGCATCTTGGGCTCTGCCGGCCAAGCCTTCCCCAAGCTAGGGTGTGCAGAGCTTCGTTTACTGCAACCCAAGGTGGCACGTGGCTTGGATTTGACTGGGGTTGTACTTAACCTTGGTCTCATCCCCTCTCCCATTATTACAGCCATGGGAGGAGTGAAAGATATAAAATGACCCGACAAGTATATGGAATCGCTACTTTTCTAGTTGATCTCTTGAGTTGCACCTCAGGCTCCTCAGGGGAACCAGCTAACCAGCCAGAGTTTTGATTGATTGCTTTTAAAAGCAGCCTGGCTCCTGTCCTTGAGCTTTAGCTCCCTAGAAACAGTCACCTTGCAACTGCCCTTAAAGCAGATTTGTTTTCCTTGACAAAGGATTCTTCACCCCTGTGAGATGATTCCTCTGTAGTGGATTTCCCTAGTGTACTTAGTGTGTAGCCAAAAACCGTTTTTCGAAAAGCTCTGTATAAATCAACTTAACAGTGGGCACCGCACACCTTAGCATAAAACTTGTAGTGCTCTTTGGTGTCCCCCGTCAGAGCAGGAGTTGCCCGTGTGTTCAGTCAACAGTGTGTAAACCTTCTTCCCTGTAAGGGCAGGGGCTCTTGGAGCAGTGGGAAGTGTAGCGCAGCAAAGCAGAGGTATAGCCCCTCATTTCTGATTGGTGTTGGGGCCACATGCTCCAGGGAAACACCTGCCTGTCACCTGTGGGATTCCTTGGGACTCTTCTTGGGCTCATGCCCCAAGGGTCACTTTACTAGGGGTTCAGCACACACATGCTCTTATGTGTGGCCCCTGCTCACCCATTTGATCTGTAAAGCGTGGCTTTGATTGCCAATTTTATAAAAAAGTTAACGGCACCCAACAAAGTTTCTACTTCTGACCCCAGCATTGGTCCTAAAAGAACAAGTCCTCTATGCTAAGTTGTGACTTTAATTGAAGGAATAGAACATTGTGAATCAGAACAAACTCACCCCGAGCCTGAATTAATCTATTTTTATAAACAGCTTATAGAGATACCAAATATTTTACAAAATGCATTAAAGTGTGGGTAGAAAAAGGTCTACTCTTACCTGAGGTTAGAGTGGGCTTTTTGGAGAATTTTTATAGTTAACTCTTTAGTGAAATGTGACAGCACAAAGGCTGATGTAAATTCCTTCCCAGTAGAGGCTCCGGGCCCATTTCCTGCTGCTTGTGTTCTTGCTCCAGGAGGGATGAGCAGATGGGGGAGAGTTCAAGCTTCGAGCTCAGTAGAAGGAAAGAACAGCCATTAAACCTACATTTAATTTATTTTATTAAAATAACATAATTGAAGAACCATCAGATAACTGTATTTTGTCAGGCGCAATAAAAACGAAATTAAAACCCTAATCATCAAGAAAACCTGTACTCCTGGCTTCCTTGCATCCACATGATGTGACTGAAGAGAGAGGCTGGCCCGGTGGCCCCGCCCCACAGGGGCAACTCCTGGAAGACAGGGATGAGCAGATGGGGGAGAGTTCAAGCTTCGAGCTCAGTAGAAGGAAAGAACAGCCATTAAACCTACATTTAATTTATTTTATTAAAATAACATAATTGAAGAACCATCAGATAACTGTATTTTGTCAGGCGCAATAAAAACGAAATTAAAACCCTAATCATCAAGAAAACCTGTACTCCTGGCTTCCTTGCATCCACATGATGTGACTGAAGAGAGAGGCTGGCCCGGTGGCCCCGCCCCACAGGGGCAACTCCTGGAAGACAG